TGCATATAAGTGGCTTTGGCATGCTGCTCTTACCTGTATTTTTTTTTTGTACCTCTGTATGTATGCTTAAATTTCTAAATAAATAAATAAATAAATAAATTGGTGGAGTGTGCTGCCTGTAGTGGGAATTGGTTATCATTCTGACTGCAACCTTTTGTTGGGTAATTAGTGGTCTGAGATGGTTTATTGTTGTTGAGCCCCATGCACAAATTCCATAGGTGAGATAGGGGTCAAACATTAGCCAATTTAGTCAAAACCTAGGAAGTATGATAACTGATGCACGCATGAACAAAGATCACTTACTACTCTCAGGTGACTTCAATATAAATCTCCTGCAAGACCAGGACCCACACATTACTGAATTCACAAACACAATGAGTAACTGCATGTTGCTACCAACAGTAACAATACCTACAAGAGTTACAGAGACTAGTGTTTCCCTACTTGACCACATCTGGACCAACACCATATCCCCTTTAAAATCAGGCATAATCACAGATAATACCACAGACCACTACCCTACTTTCCTCATAACAACTCTTGGTAAATTACCCCAAGACACTACTAAAGTCACCTTCAGACTTCACAATGAGGCAGCCATTAACCCTTTGAGGGTTTCAGACGTACTAGTACGGCTTACGACCCAAGGTTTTTGATGTACTAGTACACCTAAATTCTAGTGCCCTCAAATCTAGTGGGAGAAAGCTGGTAGGGATTCATATGAAAGAATGGGTCTATGTGGTCAGTGTGCACAGTCTAAAAAAAATCCTGCAGCACACAGTGCATAATGAGAAAAAAAAACTTTGACCATTTTTTTGGAACAAAACAGCGACTTTGCACTGTATTTTCGTATGGTATTTATTGTTGTATTCTAGTTTTCTTGGTCTCATTTTATAGAATGGAAGGCATATTACAGAAATTGAGATGATTTTGACTGGTTTTACAATGAAAGGTACCTTGAAATTGAGCTCAAAGTAGCAGAAATGTTCGATTTTTACCAAATTTCAAAAGTAAACAAATCGTGCCAAGCGTGCAATACACGTCAACTGGTGAGTCTAATATTCTTTCACAAGTGCACCAATAATATTTATACCATTTTTTACAGTAATGCAGTAGTCTGCATAACAGTAAATCTTATATTTTTTGTGAGAATAAAAATTCAAAGTGGAAAGCAAAAGAATATAAGAGGGGCCTTGAGACGTGACTAATGACCAGAGGAAATGTCATTTTAGTGCCAGGAATGTCTTTCTTGTTTATTCTGGACCCTATTCGGAAATTGGCATCTTTTGAAATTTGTGTGAAATTGGCAAAATTGCTAAATTCTGACCACTGTACTGGATAGTTGAATTTCATAAATGGGTGGTTTCTTGCACCCATTCGATAGAAAAAATGGAGTTCTAGCGAAATATTCATGTTTTTTGTCGACTAGTACAGTAGAATTGGCCAAAAATGGGGCTCAAAATGGGCAAAATCGCTGATGCGTAAACATCGCCGAGACCGCTAACTTTGCGAGAGCATAATTCCGTAAGTTTTCCATCAAATTTCAAACTTTTGGTGTCCTTATGATCGGGAAAAGATTCTCTATCTTTTCACAAGAGAAAATAATTTTTTTTTTTAAATTTGGCCGACCCTGAGAACGAGTTTCGGAGAGGGCCTGTCGACCCTCTAAGGGTTAATAACTTCACAACAGAAGTAACAAACATTGACTGGCACACTGAGCTAGAAATCTATACAGATATTGACGAATGTATTAATAATTTTCTAAAAAAGATCCAATACCTCTATAACAAGAACTGCCCTAAAAAAACTTAACAGATGACAGCTAAGAGACTGAACAGTCCCTGGCTAACACCCAGTATTCTCAAATCCATAAATACAAAACACCGATATGAAAAACAGTACAGAATGGGTCACATAACCAGAGACCAAACAAAACGTTACTCGTCAATCCTAACCAGCCTGATAAGAAGGGCAAAAAAATTGTATTATGAGAACAGATTATCCAACTTACAAGGTGATATAAAAAAGACCTGGAAAACCCTATCAGAAATTCTAGGAACAAAAAAGATATCACGAAATAGTAAAATAAAATTAGCAAAATCAGATAAAACCCCAACCCCCACCAACAGAAACAGCAAACAGACTCAATGATTTCTTCTCCACAATAGGACAAAACCTTGCCAATAAAATCCCAAGCTCAGATACCCCACCAAATGACTACCTCACTGGCAACTACCCAAACACACTGTTCTAGCTCCGACTAACACTTTACGAAGTCTCCCTTATTATCAATGCACTAAAAAAAAAACGCGGAGATTTAAATTCCCTTACCACCCTTTATATACAAAAAAGTGTCACAAGTGCTATCACCAATCATTGCACACTCTTTAACAAATCCATTGAATCCTCCACCTTCCCTACAGTTCTCAAAATAGCAAGGGTCACCCCGATCCATAAAGGAGGAGACCAAACAGAGTTAAATAACTATAGGCCAATATCCAACTTACACCCTCTCTCTAAAATCTTCGAAAAATTAATTCATAAACGAATCTACTCCTATCTCATCTCCCAAAACATACTCAACCCCTGCCAGTTTGGATTCAGGCCTAATAAAAATACTAATGATGCTATTATACACATGCTAGAACATATATACAGTGGACCCCTGGTTAACGAACTTTTTTCATTCCAGTAGTAAGTTCAGGTGCCAGTACTGACCGAATTTTTTCCCATAAGGAATATTGTGAAGTAGATTAGTCCATTTCAGACCCCCAAACATACACGTACAAACGCACTTACATAAATACTCTTACATAATTGGTCGCATTTGGAGGTGATCGTTAAGCGGGGGTCCACTGTACACTGCAATAGAGAAAAAAGAAGTCCCACTGGGGATCTTCATTGACTTACGTAAAGCTTTTGATACAGTTAGCCATGACTTGCTCCACATAAAATTGTCACACTATGGTATAAGAGGGCACTCCCTCAACTACCTCAAGTCATACCTCAGCAACAGAAGCCAATATGTGTACGCAAATGGGTCAAACTCTTCCACACAACCAATTACAGTTGGTGTCCCACAGGGAAGTGTCCTTGGCCCTCTTCTCTTTCTCCTATACATAAATGACCTACCAAATGCTTCACAATTACTCAAACCCACACTATTTACAGATGACACTACATACGTCTTCTCTCACCCGAGCCCAGTCACGCTAGCCAATACTGTAAATACCGAATTACAGAAAATATCTACCTGGATGAGGACTAACAAACTTACACTAAACATTGACAAAACCTACTTCATTCAGTTTGGTAACAGAGCTACAGATGTCCCTCTTAACATAATGATAAACGGATCACCTATCACAAAGCTAACAGAGGAAAAATTCTTAGGAATCCACCTTGATAATAGACTCAAAATTCATACACATATACAACAAATTTCTAAGAAAATTTCCAAGACCGTAGGCATACTATCGAAGATACGGTACTATGTTCCACAGTCAGCCCTCCTGGCCCTATATCACTCTCTTATTTACCCCTATCTCACCTATGGAATTTGTGCATGGGGCTCAACAACAATTAACCATCTCAGACCACTAATTACCCAACAAAAGGCTGCAGTCAGAATGATAACAAATTCCCACTACAGGCAGCACACTCCACCAATATTCAAAACACTAAACCTACTCACCATACAAAACATCCATACTTATTACTGCACCTATTACATACATAGAACACTTAACTCTGATATTAACCCTCCCCTCAAACATCTCCTTGCCAACCTCAACAGAACACATGACCATAACACAAGGCACAGATCACTCTTTGATGTTCCTCGTGTCCATCTAACGCTATGCAAAAACTCAATGCACATAAAAGGCCCTAAAATCTGGAATTCATTACCTGTGAATATAAAAGAAACACTACCTGTTCATAAATTCAAGTCTCTTCTCAAAGATCACTTACTCACCCAAAACCAAATAAATACTGAACAACCGAACCTTATAAATTGTATATCTTAAATGTTTCTCACAATTATATTACATAAATGTTAAACCTAAGACCCAATCTAACTTTGTTATTTTTTAAATACACTACCTAACAGAATACTCCATTCTACTGAATGTACAGCAATGCATGCAACCATATGACCTGTCTTTGTAATACTCATTTGTGCTTTATTGTTATCTGTTTACAATAATGTTTTATCACTGATTACATCATTGCTTAGTTAATCTTAAGTTAATTTTAAGCCAGCCTGTAATGCTATGCATACAAGTGGCTTTGGCATGCAGCTCTTACCTGTATTTTTTTGTACCTCTGTATGTATGTTCAAAATATTAAATAAATAAATAAATAGTACCGTAACTTCGATAGTATGCCTACGGTCTTGGAATTTTTTTTGGAAATTTGTTGTATATGTGTTTGAAATTTGAGTCTATTATCAAGGTGGATTCCTAAGAATTTTCCCTCTGTGAGTTTTGTGATAGGTGATCCATTTATCATTATGTTAAGAGGGACGTCTGTAGCTCTGTTACCAAACTGAATGAAGTAGGTTTTGTCAATGTTTAGTGTAAGTTTGTTAGTCCTCATCCAGGTAGATATTTTCTGTAATTCGGTATTTACAGTATTGGCTAGCGTGACTGGGCTCGGGTGAGAGAAGACGTATGTAGTGTCATCTGCAAATAGTGTGGGTTTGAGTAGTTGCGATGCAACTACTCAACTGATAATTAAAGCCTGGGAAATACTGTTTCGGACACACAACTTTTTGCAGTTCGAACACCACTTAGGAACCGATTAAGTTCAAACACTGAGGTTCCACTGTATAATATTATTACTATTAACTGCACCTACCAAATTTAATTGTAAAAAACTAATCGTCACAATAAAGGATAGATTAAATTCCAGAAGGAGCAATATTAACTGCATGCTAACATTAATTACTGCATTAACTAATACATCTCAGACCAAGAAAACAAAAATCAATAACTTACGAGTTAGATTTATCCACTTGGTTCCTTCATGCACACCAGGAATGCTTGTGATGATGGCATTAAGATGCTGGTTCATTTCAACTTCCCACTCATCCACTTCTATCACATCCCGGTAGGCATGCACAGTGTCAACCCATCTCCGTTCTTCAACCCAGCCAGAAAATATACGTCCACACAACTGCTGCTCTATGTATTCTAAACTGCCAGGAGAAAACTTGGATTTAATATGAGTTTTGTTGCTACTTCCTTTTTTTTTTCTTGATGACACTGATGAATCAGAGTTCCTACCATCTTTAGATCCTATATGTGATTTTTGCTTCTTGGTTTTACTCCTGACCTTTACACCAGACAAGTCAGAACTTGCACAAGCCTCTGAACCTGACATCTGGCTTACTGATAGCTGAGATTCTGACTCTGTGTCCCACTGTGAATCCTTTTCTTGATTTTTATTTACAATTGGAAAGGAGAGTGTGTGTGTGTAATAGCTCGTAGCTTTATTCATGGTGCTTGGAGCACTAGCACCATTATTATCTGGGTTCACTTTCTTATCAGGCACATCACTAACATCCCTTGTTCCTTCTCTTCCAATTGCTTTTCTGCTTGTGTGAAGCAAAGAAATGCCATCTGATGAATACGTTCTTTCAACCTCTTCAGTTTCTTCCTTCTGACACTCAGAGTTGCTCAAAGTTGCACCTTTATAAACTACTCTATCTAATCTTCTGTTATCATTGGTATCACAAAATTGTGCATGTTCCTTTTCATCCTGCTTTATGTATCTTTCTCTCACAGTCTGTCCTTCCTCTTGTACAACTTTTCTCTCATTATTTCTAATTCCTGCAATATGCGAAGAAGGCACGTGCTCGAGGATATTTGGCGGAGTGGTAATCTGTGAAGTATCCTTATCATCACTATGGGTGGGCAGACACCCATCATCTGGGCTAACAGTATGTCCTCTTTTATTTACTGCATTTCTCTCCATTTCAGATACGGTTCCTAAAACAGAAATTATAGTTATAACTCTGTACTGTATATTGCAGATGAACTTGAAAATATTGCTGAAAATCTGCCTCCCCCATACAAGAAAAACAGCAAAGTAATTGTGAAAATTCTCTGAAATGTTAGGTAAATTATTTTATATTACTTTACATAAATTTTAGCAAGAAAAGTTTAGTGCAAAGTAAACAAAAATCATAATGAATGAATGGAATGTATGCATGGATGTATTGATGTATGTATGCATGCAAATGGTAAATAAATCCTAAAGGAAGAATTATGAACAGGCTATATAGTGAAGGATGGAAAAAATGCTTCATATATGAAATATAATTATGAGAACTGTTTGATGTGTAAAATAAACTACGTTACAGTAAACCCTCAATTCAATGGACTAACAGGTGGAAGTGGGTGGGCTATAATAATAATAATAATAATAATAATAATAATAATAATAAATAATAATAAATAATAATAAAAATTATACCTAGGTAGTAGGTTGGTAGACAGCAACCACCCAGGGAGGTACTACCGTCCTGCCAAGTGAGTGTAAAACGAAAGCCTGTAATTGTTTTACATGATGGTAGGATTGCTGGTGTCCTTTTTCTGTCTCATGAACATGCAAGATTTCAGGTACATCTTGCTACTTCTACTTACACTTAGGTCACACTACACATACATGTACAAGCATATACAGTGGACCCCCGCTTAACGATCACCTCCAAATGCGACCAATTATGTAAGTGTATTTATGTAAGTGCGTTTGTATGTGTATGTTTGGGGGTCTGAAATGGACTAATCTACTTCACAATATTCCTTATGGGAAAAAATTCGGTCAGTACTGGCACCTGAACATACTACTGGAATGAAAAAAGTTCGTTAACCGGGGGTCCACTGTATATACACACCCCTCTGGGTTTTCTTCTATTTTCTTTCTAGTTCTTATTCTTGTTTATTTCCTCTTATCTCCATGGGGAAGTGGAACAGAATTCTTCCTCCGTAAGCCATGCGTGTTGTAAGAGGCGACTAAAATGCCGGGAGCAAGGGGCTAGTAACCTCTTCTCCTGTATATATTACTAAACGTAAAAGGAGAAACTTTCGTTTTTCCTTTTGGGCCACCCCGCCTCGGTGGGATGCGGCCGGTGTGTTGAAAGAAAGAAGAATAAAAATTATAATAATAATAATATTTTATTTTGACATGATACATGTTTGCACAAAGGAATATAATACAGTGGACCCCCGCATAGCGAACGCCTTGCATAGCGAACATTCCGCATAGCGAACGCTTTGTCCGCTAAAATTTTGCCCCGCATAGTAGACAAAAACCCGCTCAGCGAACTTCGTTCGAGACGCGTCCAATGTGGGCCCTCAGCCAGCCTCACATGTGCCGCCCGTCCCATTGTTTACCAGCTAGCCTCCGCGGTAACATTCAAGCATACACTCGGAATATTTCGTATTATTACAGTGTTTTCGGTGCTGTTTGTGGAAAATAAGTGACCATGGGCCCCAAGAAAGCTTCTAGTGCCAACCCTACACCTCAAAGGGTAAGAATACCCATTGAAATTAAGAAAAAATCATTGATAAGTATGAAAGTGGAGTACGTATCACCGACCTGGGCAGGTTGTACAAGAAACCAAAATCAACCATCGCTTCTATTGTGGGCAAGAAAACGGCAATCAAGGAAGCTGTTGTTGCCAAAGGTTTAACTGTTTTTTCGAAACAAAGATCGCAAGTGATGGAAGATTTGAGAGACTCTTATTGGTGGGGAAATAAATGAAAAACAGCTAGCAGGAGATAGCGTCTCTCAAGCGATCATATGTGAAAAGGCTAGGAAGTTGCATGACGATTTAATTAAAAAAATGCCTGCAACTAGTGATGATGTGAGTGAATTTAAGGCCAGCAAAGGTTGGTTTTGAGAGATTTAAGAAGCGTAGGGGATCCATAGTGTGATACGGCATGGTGGGGCCCTGCCAGTCGGACCACAAAGCGGCTGAAAAATATGTGCAGGAATTCAAGGGTACATAGAAACTGAAGGACTGGAACCTGAAAAAGTGTTTAATTGTGATGAAACAGGCCTGTTCTGGAAGAAAATGCCAAGCAGGACCTACATTACCCCAGAGGAAAAGGCACTCCCAGGACATAAGCCTATGAAGACAGGCTTACTTTTCCCTCATGTGTGCAATGCTACTGGTGATTGCAAAGTTAAGCCTTTATTAGTGTATCACTCTGAAACTCCCAGAGCGTTCAGGCAAAAGAATGTCCTCAAGGATAATTTGTGTGTGCTGTGAGGGCAAACAGTAAGGCATGGGTCACTAGGGAATTTTTCTATAACGGTTACACCATGCATTTGCCCCAAGGGAAAAAGATTACCTAACTGAAAAGAAATTAACCTTAAGTGCCTCCTGGTGTTAGACAATGCCCCTGGTCATCCTACAGACGTGGCAGAGCGACTTTATGGGACATAGCTTCTTTAAAAGGTGAAGTTTTTGCCTCCTAATACCACTCCTCTCCTGCAGCCCATGGACCAGCAGGTCATTTCCAACTTCAAGAAACTGTACACAAAAGCTCTGTTTAAAAAAGTGCTTTGAAGTGACCACAGACACGGATTGACTCTAAAAAAGTTTTGGAAGGATCACTTTAATATCCTCAGTTGTGTAAACCTTATAGGAAAGGGTTTGGGGAGGGTGACTAAGAAACCTTGAACTCTGCTTGGAAGAAACTGTGGCCAGAATGTTAGAAAAAAGGGGATTTTGAAGGGTTTGAGGCTAACCTGAGAGGAGTAGTATACCAGTTGAGGAATCAATTGTGGAATTGGGGAAGTCCTTGGGTTGGAGGTTAGTGGGGAGGATGTGGAAGAGTTGGTGGAGGAGGACAATGAAGAACTAACCACTGATGAGCTGATAGATCAACTTCAAGAGCAAGAGGCAGACCTGGGGAAACGGGTTTTCAGAGGGGGGGAGAGAGAAAATTGAAGGAATTGCCTACTTCAAAGTTTAAAGGGAAATTTGTGCAAAATGGCTTGAAGTGCAAACCTTTTTTGATGAAAATCACCCCACACAGCTATTGCAAGCCGTGCTGGTGACTATTACAATGACACTGTTGTGAAACACTTTAGGAAAGTCATAAAGGAACGAGAGGTACAGGCCACAAAGGACAATATTTTTGTGCGAAAGAAGTCCAGTGACTCTGAAGCTGGTCCTAGTGGCATTAAAAGAAGAAGGGAAGTAACCCCAGAAAAGGACTTGCAAACCTCAAGTCCTAAGGAAGGGGTTTCCCCCTTCTAAAACTAACACTCTCTCTCCCCTCCTCCCATCCCACAATCATCACCAGATCTTCAATAAAAGTAAGTGTCATGTAATTGTGCATGCCTTTTTCAGTTTGTGTGTACTAAAATTAACATTTTTTTGTGGTAAAAAAAATTTTTTTCATACTTTTGGGTGTCTTGCACGGATTAATTTTATTTCCATTATTTCTTATGGGGAAAATTAATTCGCATAGCGAACATTTCGCATAACGACCAGCCCTCTTGCACGGATTAAGTTCGCTATGCGGGGGTCCACTGTACTTGGGTGTATATGCCAAAAGCTGATTTGTATGCAGAGGATTTTGGGCAAACTTAAAATTAACTTAAGATTAATAAGGCAATAACAATACATATGATCATTAGACGAGTTACACTGAATACAGGAGAATTGAGAATTATATCAGGTAATGCTATATGGCTTTAAAAAGTCTTATATAGAAGATGTACAATTTTGATTATTAAATTTAGGCAGACACAATTGAGTGATTAACCCTTTGACTGTTTCGGTCGTATATATACATCTTATGAGCCACCGTGTTTGACGTATATACAGTGGTCCCTCAATAATCGCCCAGCCTGAAAGTCGTCCATTTCGGAAATACTGTAGTCCTGTTTTTTCGTCAAAATATTGGCTCGGAAATGGTGCGGTAACTCGCTAATAGTCCTTCGTCCCAGACGCGTATGCACGGTCTGAGCGGCCTCGAGCCACCTCAGCCTTTCCTTCCCAGCCAGTGTGCCATTGTTTACAAGTGAGCGACGGTCCCCTCACGTGCTCCAGTGAAATATTTCATATTTCATTTATTTTAGTGCTTGCAAGTTATTTAAGTGCTAAATAAGCTACCATGGCTCCAAAGAAAGCTCCTAGTGCAAGCCTTTTGGGAAAGAAGTGAGAAATACGATTGAATTTAAGAAAAACATCATTGAACAACATGATAGTTGGGGTACGTGTGGGCGAACTGGCCAGGAGTGATAACAAATCCCGTACAACCATATCTTCCATCATAGCCAAGAAAAAGGAAAATCATGATGCTGTTGTTGCAAAGGGGGGGTAAATATGCTGACAAAAATGAGATCACCAGTACTTGAAGATTTGAGAAGTTATTATTTGGGGTGGATAAATGAGAAACAATTAGCAGGAGACAGTCTTATGACGTCGCTTATTTGTGAAAAGGCTAGGCAGTTTTGCATGACGATTTTGGGAAAGAAATTGCCTGCAACTAGTGATGATGTGAGTGAATTTAAGGCTAGCAAAGGCTGGTTTGAGAGATTTTAAGGGGCGTACCTGGCATACACCCGCATGGTAAGGCATGGTGAGGCTGCCAGTTCGGACCACAAGGCGGCTGAAAAATTGTGCATGAATTCCCAGGAGTACATAAACAGTGAAGGACTGAAACCTGAACAAGTTTCAATTGTGATGAAACGGCCCTTTTTTGGAAAAAAAATGCCAAAGAGGACCTTCATTACACAAGAGGAAAAGGCAATGCCAGGGCACAAGCATAAAAAAGACAGGCTGACACCCAATGTTCTGTGCTAATGCTAGGGGATTTCAAAGTGAAGCCATTAAAAGTGTGCCTTCTGAAAATCCCAGAGTGTTCAGGAAAAACAATGTTATGAAGAGTAAATTGTTGTGTTTTGGAAATCTAATAGTAAGGCATGGGTCACGAGGGAAATTTTGTAGAGTGGTTCAACGAAGTGT